GCTGGAAGGCCAGGCACAGTGGGGCGTGTCCTACTGGAAGGCCAGGCACAGTGGGGCGTGTCCTACTGGAAGGCCAGGCACAGTGGGCGTGTCCTGGTGGAAAGCCAGGCACAGTGGCAGTCCCAGCACTGAGGCTGAGGCAGGAGGGGTTGGAGGCTGGCCTGAGTTACACAGTGAGATCCTGTTTAAAAACAACCCCAGAACTAAAATAAATAAAACTTACAAAATCAGATTCACATTTCTAAATTTAATATCCTATTTCTTATTAATATTTTAGAAATAATTTGAGTATAGAAAGGCAAGGGCTCATTTCATACATATGGCAAGGGGAGATTAAAGTATCTGTGTTTTTGGTTATATTATTTGTCCGAAATGGCTTGATTTAAAGAAAAGTATTCTAAAATACATTTGAGTTGGACTTTCTTTGGATTTTGAAATAGTCTTAGTTGAGGCAAAATTTATTTATTTATTTATTAAATTGCCCTTCCTCCTTGTTTTTCTTATGCTGGGAGGAGGCTGGGTGAGCTGGGAAGAGCAGATGGTGCGGAGGGTTCTCACGACCCCGGCTTTATTAACTGGGGACCGGGACTTTCTAAACGGACCAGTGCTTAATCATACACACATGTTGCCCAATTTAGCCAAGTTACTTCTGGTTGCTTCTTTCTTTGTGATTTTTTTCCCCACTGAAATTCCTTTCTCTTTGGTCTTGTCAGATGTATAACTCACTCCCATTTCTACCCAGATGGCATTCTCTATCCTCAGAAGCATGGTGGGAACCCAGGCCAGGGAAGAGGCGCTTCCCCGAGCCACCATGCTTGCTGAAGCCTGTGGTTCCACGGGGGACGCCCTGGCTGGTGCTGCTTAAACTGTGGTCTGAGCTGCACCACTTAGGTCACGCTTTCCCACAGTAACTCTTCTTGGCTGACGACGGCTAGAGAATTTTACTGGAGGAAGTTGGAGGGAGGGAGGGAGGGAAGCTGAGACCTGTTTTTGCTTCTCCTGAACTTGATGTTGGCAAGAGTCCTTTGGAGGTTTGTTTAAAGGGGTGAGCCAACAGCAATTGGATCGGGCACCCTGTTCAGCTTTGAGACTCTCCCGAGTTTGGATTACACGGCTCATCAGCCCTTTCTGTGAACAGGCTTCAAGAGATCAGTTGGAGAATGACTTTGGGGATCACAAATGAGGGGAGAATAGGGGGCAATCTCCCTGCTTCCAGGACAGGAAAGACTTAGCTTCCCCCAGAGTTTTATATTAATATCATCATCATGATAAATAATATTTGCAGACTAGGGCTTTCGTCTGGAGGCCAACACTCACATTGAGCATCTCAAAAATTGTCAAGATGTCTAAGGGAGTCTGGCCCTTTTACAGGCCTAGAAATGGAGGGCAGAAAAATGGGCTTGCTCTAGGTCACGGGGCTAGAGAGTGAAGCCCAGGGCCTTTCTTGCTGTCTTTACTTGTTTAATTGATAGTTGATTTTCTGGCTTGTTAGCATTCCATTTTATGATTAAGGTGTGTGTGTGTGTGTGTGTGTGTGTGTGTGTGTGTGTGTGTGTGTGTGTCTGGGTGAATCTTTTGGACATTCAAACAACTGATCTTGCCATTCCTCTTGGTTGCTCACAATTGATTTGAATGCTGGGTAAGAGGACCAAAGAAGCTGGGTTTCCCTCACACCGTGTTCTGCTAAGCCCTGGCTCGCTTTCACAGAGTGGAAGTGATGGTCCACCACTGGTGTCTGCTGTCACATGCCCTCTGCTTCTGCTAAGCTTTTATGAACGGTGACACATTCCTGCAAATAGCAAAATAACTATTGCTATAAGAATATGAAGGCATGATGAGCCCAGGAGAGGTCGAATGACCTGTGCTGTCAGCACGCGCCGAGTTTAGAAGCGGATGCAAGACTTCAACTAGTCTCCACTAAGACAGTTACTCAGAATTTCAAAACAGTCAAAGAAATGCCACCTTTCTCACTGTTTTAGGATCCATAACTACCATCATAATTATTTTTATGTTCAAAAATTCTTAATTGATTTATGTTAACATACTTAACAAATCTTGGTGTGTGTATGTGTGTGCAGGTGTGCGCGTGTCACGGCATGCATGAGGAGGTCAGAGGACAACCCCAAGGGTCAGTCCTTGCCTTCCACCTTGACAGAGAAAAGGTCTCTCTCTTTCTCTCTCTTTTTTCTTTTTTGTTTGTTTTTCGAGACAGGGTTTCTCTGTGTAGCTTTGGAGCCTGTCCTGGAACTCACTCTGTAGACCAGGCTGGTCTCAAACTCACAGAGATCTGTCTGCCTCTGCCTCCCGAGTGCTGGGACTAAAGGTGTGCGCCACCACTGCCGGCCCAAGAGACAGGGTCTCTTGTGTAGTCCTCCAGGCAAGCTGGCCTGAAAGCTCCCAGGGACCTCATTCCCCTGTTTCCGCTTCTCGCCTCTAACTGCAGAGCGCTGAAGAGTCACGAGAAACAAGGAAACGAGACAGCTGCAAGTGTGCACAGCACTCAGGAGGAGAAAGGCACTCCAGGAGAGGCGGAGGCCGCAGCACCGAGGGGTCATTTTCAGTTACACGAGAAGTGACTGAAGGCGTTGGCATGGTGCTGGTCAAGGATGGATGGATAAAACTACCCTGGTGTGAAGGGACTCTCTAGAGGGACCTGCTGAAGACATTAAGAGGACCCAGCAACCGTGTGTGGCATCCTGCATCCCTCCCTGATGCACAGAGCAGGTGCATTCTCTTCCTGCCCTAGGTGATGGGGCTGCAGAGTGAGCTTACATCCCATAAAGGAATCAAATAAAGTAAGTGAATTTATAAGATAAACAAGCCAGGGGCTGGAGAGATGGCTCAGAGTTAAGAACACTGGCTGTTCTTCAGGAGGTTCTGAGTTCAATTCCCAGCAACCACAACCATCTATAATGAGACCTGGTGCCCTCTCCTGGTATGCAGCCATACATGGAGGCAGAATGTTGTATACATAATAAATAAATAAATCTTAAAAAAAAAAAGATAAACAAGCCAGACCTGAAGTCCATTAGCTCACTGAATGTCAGAGGAGGGAATCACTACCATGAGAGAACTTTGAACACGACACTGCTGCTAGGCAACAGGCAACCACGGTGAGGTACTCACTGTGCATGAGCAGAAGCAACTTTCATCACATTGCTCTGAGTATGTTGTTAAGTACTTGGGAAAAACCAAGTTAGATCCAGACTCACTTCATACATCAAAAAAGTACCCCATGGACCAGTAAAAGAATTTCAAAGATTTGCAGGAAATAGGGTGATGGATGTAGCTTAAGTTGATTACTCAAGTATGAAGCCCTACGTTCAGATCCCTGGCACTTCTAGCCTGCTGGTGACTCCGGGTTCAGTGAAAGACTGTATATGTATGTATATTATATTATATGTATATGAAAAGGTGGAGAACAATAGAGGAAGACACATGATGGCTGCTTCTGGCCTCCAGTCTCTCATAAACACCTGCATATGCGTGTGCACACACATGTATACACCATGCACAAACACATGTGCACACTAAAACAAAATAAATTTTAAAATGGAAATGAAATGCTTGGGTCTGGAGATGTAGCTTGGTAGTAGAGCACATCACATGTGTGATGATGCCCTGGGTTCAATCTCCAGCATCAAAACACAAAGAGAAAAACAAATGAAGAAGAAAACCCCAAACCAATTGTTGCTGAAAGGAATGAATGAAGTCCCAAGTAAAAGGCCAGTCTATGTCCACAGAATGGAAGACACCATATTATGATAATGGCAGACTGGTCCACATAATCAAGAAAAACCAAAATGCTGCTTTCCTTTTGAAAACACAAGCTGACAAGATGATTATTAAAGTAATGGTTATTAAAGTTCATTGTAGACATACTAAGGGCCCAGATCAGCATGGACGATCTGAGGAAGAACGAATGACTCATGATTCTTGAATGCAAAACTAACAGTTGAAGTACAGTGAATGGGGCTGGGATAAGGGTAGGTGTACTGATCAACAAGATGAATGAGAGCTCAGAAATAAACCCTTCCATCTGTGGTTAACTGATTCCCAACATGGATACCAGAGTAATTCACTGGTATGGAAAAACAGGTTTTTCAACAGTGAGGGGAAATACACATAAAAGATGAACCTTATCTTATACTATGTATAAATTAAAATAAAAAAAAAAAGGAATCATAGACCTAAACATGAGAGTTGAAATTGTGCAACTATTAAAAGCAAAGAAGACCTTGGGAGGTGGTCTATTTTTACACCACACCAAGTGTGCTGGAGGGAGGAGGGGGAGGAAGAAAGAAAGAAACTGAGCACTTTGAAGAGGTGCATTTTGTAATATGTAACGCATATCTTAGCAAACACAGTTATTAAAAAACAAAGTGAGAGAAAGTTAACAGATTGACTACTTAAGAAGGAAGTCTTGGGCCTGGAGAGAGAGCTCAGTGGTCAAGAGCATTTGCTGATTTTGCAGAGGACCTAGGTTTGGTTCTCAGTTCCTACAAAATGGCTCACAACCACTGGTTACTCCACTTCTAGGAATTCTGACTCCCTCTTCTGGCTTCTGTGGGAACTGCATACACATGTTGCACATGTATACATGCAGGCAAACAGGCACACACATAAAATAGAAACAAATTAGTCTTTTAAAAAATAAGGAAGACTTATTGCATTAAAAGCATCATAAGTCAGAGACTGGGAAAGTCTGTAACACATGTACTTTTTGGAACCAAAGTTGCCACTGATTATGGTATCAGTTTATATGTTACTACATTAAGGAAAAAAATAGCTACTAAGGTGAAGAGGCCCCAGGAGGAGCCTCCCTTTTCCAGAAACCTTGGCTTGCCGGGTGGTGGTGGCACACACTTTTAATCCCAGCACTCGGGAGGCAGAGGCAGGTGGATCTCTGTGAGTTCGAGGCCAGCCTGGGCTACAGAGTGAATTCCAGGACAGGCGCAAAGCTACACAGAGAAACCCTGTCTCGAAAAAGCAAGGAAAAAAATGAAACAAACAAACAAACAAAAAACAACCTCTCCCCCCCCCAAAAAAAAAACAAAAAACAAAACAAAACAAAGCAAAACAAAACAAAACAAAGAAACCTTGGCTCAAGGGGAAGAAAGGTAGAAAACCTTTGAAAATATGAGTTACAAGTTACACAGAGACTTGCAATCTGAATAAACACTACTTTACAGTCAGGAAAACCTTGGGCAGAAAAATCTAATTTATAGCAGGTCTCAATTTGACAATAATTTTTAAGATGCCACTGATGATCATCCATTGTGCATAAAAGCTGGTCTTAGAATAAAAGATGAAGGTTTATATAGATATAATTCATTTAAATCATCTAGAAAAATAATAAATACCTAACATAAATGGTCAAATATTACATAGCCTAATTCTCAAAGGAATTATAAATGACTGAAAAATTATGAGAAATGCTTGAACCTAACCAGTACTTGAAAAACACAAAATAAAACAACCAGGTGACATTTTCCTACTTGTAAGGATGGCATAATTTAAAAAGCCTAATGCAGGCTGAGGGCTGCAACTCGCCTCTCCGCAGTTATGTATAGTTAATACCCTACTTCCACATCTTGAACTCTATCCCAAGTAAACAATCCTAATTTAGACACAGCATTTATTTGAAACTATGCTCATAAAAATATTAGCCAGAAACAGGAAAAAGAGGAAGGATGTAAATGCCCAACACTAAAAGAATGGCTAGCAGATTATGGTACACCCCTATAATTTTCATGCTGTGTTTGCTTTTAAATGATGTTTAGAATATTCAAGGCTTTGAGAAACTGTTTATGTTATAATGATATGCAAATATCAGAGGGTAGAAGCCCAAGAGGACTCAGCATTATGCGGCTCTTTTTTGTGTGTGTGGTGCCAAATCAAACCTGGAGCTTGCACACAGCAGTCCTGCACTTTCTTGGACACTAGATTTATGAAAATGGACAAAAAATAAAAATTGGGAGGAAGTACATCACCATCTGAGTACTAGGCAGCTCTGGGCAGCCTCCTCCCGAATTTTATTGGCTTTCAAGTAATTACCACAGTTTTATTGCATTTCTAAACCGCAGTAAATATTGTAAGAAAAATCTGCAATGGCTAATGCTATGGTTTTGGGGTGACTAATTAATTATGATTTGAGTTATGAAGTCGGGCCACAGAATAAGTAAATGATAAAGTAACAACATGTGTATAATATGCTTCTTCTCTACTTTCCACACAGTTTGAACACTAACAGTATGCACATAGTAAATTTCCCGTAAGTATGAAGATAAATAAGACGTCATATTTCAACTTGATTTAAAACAATCATTATTATCTTTGGCCTTAGTTTGTTCTATTTATTTAATTACTCATGGTTTGAAGGCAGGATTCTGATTTGAGAACTTTCTCCCTTTTGTTTTCTGCAGAGCTGGGGTCAACCCGGGGACCTTGTGTATGTTGGGCAAGCACCACCGCTGAGCTAAATCTATAAGGCCTTTCTTAATTTTTGATGTAGGAATTTTTAATCTACAGATTTGACCTCGAGCCCTGCCTTTGTAGTTTCCCACCATTTGCAGGATGTGTGTGTTTTATTTTTCCCTTTTTGAGAGCGGATCTCACTGTATTCCCCAGTCTGGCTTGGGAACTCCCGGGCCTCCTGTCTCCGCTTCTCAAGTGCTAGGATGCTTGCTCTGTGCCTGATGGTGTGTGTATGTGCTTTCATTTGTCACTAAGCATTTTTCTCCTTTCTCTGATTTCTTCTTTAAATTATTGGTGCCAATGGCTACATACAAATATGTTTCAACAACTAACTGTACATTGTGTGTGTGTGTGTGTGTGTGTGTGTGTGTGTGTGTGTGTATGTTGTGCATGCATGCATGTGGAGGCCAAAAGGTTGGTGCTGAGTGTCTTCCTCAGTCATTCTCCCTTATTTATCTATTTTTTTGAGAAAGGGTCTCCGGTTGAACATGGAGCTTATGGACTGGCCAACAAGCCCAGCAATTTACTTGCTTATGTCTCACTAGTGCAGAGATTATATTGTGTTCTGCTTTTTTTTTTTTTTTTTTTTTTTTTTGGTTTCTGTTTTGTTTTTTGAGACGGGGTTCCTCTGTGTAGCCCTGGCTGTCCTGGAACTCGCTCTGTAGACCAGGCTGGCCTCGAACTCAGAGATCCATCTGCCTCTGCCTCCCAAGTGCTGGGATTAAAGGTGTGTGCCATCACCGCTGACTCTGTGTTCTGCTTCTTACATGGGTGCTAAGGGTCTGAACGTGGGTCCTTGTGCTTTCCTATTACTTTCCTGATTGAGCAGCTCCCACACCCCAGCCTGTACTTCTACTTTTTAACATAAAATGGGCTAATGATTATGGCATCATTAAATCATGATATTTAACCATAGTCGGTCATTATTATCACTGCAGTAAAAACATCCAACTCTTCCAACAAAAACTTTCCACACATATATGGTGACATCTTATGGTGATATTTTGTTTGTGCCCTAAGAAATAAAGCTTGCCTGAAGATCAGAGGGTGGAGCTAGCCATTAGCTAACCATAGAGGTCTGTAGGTCTGTATAGACAACAGACAGGAAGTGATATGGCTGGGCTCGGAGGAGAGAGGAAGTGGTAAGGTGGGGCGGAGACAGGAGCTCAGCCCCTTTTGGTCTGAGGATTTGGTAGAGGTAAGAAGTCTCTCTAGTGGCTGGCTCCTTTATTTCTCTGATCTTTCACCATTTACCCCGATATCTGACTCCGGGTTTTTATTATTAAGACCAATTAGAATTCACGCTACAATGTCAGTAAAAAGTGCTACAACCAAGAAACTTCTTTAAGACTCTTACCTTGAATTTTCTTGAAAACTCTGGAATTCATGAACTTTAAAAATCTATCTGCATAAAAACTTGGTCTATGAACTGAAACAGTGTCCTGGAAAAAAAGAAAGGAAGAAAGAAAGATGATATGTTTCCTCTTAGAATTTATCTCACATTGGAAAAAAGGCTCTGTTAGTCAAGGTCTGAACTAAAACATGGCAAAGAATTCAAAAGACCAGAAGCCTAGGGCTAGGGGCAGCCAGCAAGACTTATTCATCATAGAGATTCTATGTACTCAGTGTTATGAATTTGCATGCGGGGGACCCCAGGCTGGCTGGGCCAGGGCCCATGAGTGGGATCAAACTTGCTGGCATGCTGGGCAGATGCAGTGAAGGGCTGGGCAGATGCATGCCATGAGGGCATGGCGGTGGGGCAGCCAGTAATTCACAACCCAGATGCTGCACCTGCGCGGAAAGAGTTGATTAGAAAGATCGACAGAAAGGAGAGAGAGGGAGAGAGGGGTTCGAGGGTGCACACCTCATGGGAGGAAAAGCAGAAGAGAGAAATGGAGCATGAAGGGACGGGACGGGGGGAGGGGGGACGGGACGGGGGACGGGGGGCCAGGGAGAGCCAAACAACTCTGCTCCAAAAATGAAAATTGTCTGTCCTGTCACAACACCACCAGGGCCTGGGGGGACATGTGTGTGTGTGTGTGTGTGTGTGTGTGTGTGTGTGTTTCTAACACACAACTAGCAATCCGAGCACCATGTGGAATGAAGGGTGGCACTGGTAGTGAACCCACTTATTTGAGCTACCTGTGTTTTTAGCTAGGAATTCTTCAATGAGCAGTTAAGAAGGACACAGTTCTCAGCCACATTTGTAAAGAACAGAAAGAGACAGCACCCCTAGCATTAGAGTGACATTTAAATTAGGGGGTTTCATCACTAGGTAATGAGGTGAGACTGCCTGAGGTTACACTGAATTAGCTACTGGTCACACGGGACTGGATTGAATTAAACAGCCAGGTTCCTCTCATGTTTGGCAAGAGTCCTTCTGATTGACAGGTCATTTTATTATAATCAGAAAACGGCCTGGATGAAGGGGCCGATTCTCTGTTCATCTGGTAGATGCTCTATTTTGAATACAGGTTTCTGGATCTCAACAGTGAAATTTCTAAAAGTTCAAGTGCAGACACTATGAAGGGTCTGCAGTGGGGTTCAAGGAGTGTTGAGCCAGAAGTCAAGCGACCTGCATCAGGTGTGGGGTCTAATTTTAACAGACTGTGGTATCGGGAGCGGGGCCTCAGCTCCTTTACTGATGAGCACACTCTTCCACAGATCTACATGCGCCTAGTTAGAAACATCTGTAATTCTGCAAATGGGCAGTTACAAGGGCACAACTCTTCAGTCACATTAGGAACTCTATGGCTGACATTTGTTTCTGGCATGACGTGTGCTCTTCCAATGGCACTGGCAGCTTCTGTCTATGTGGACAGTTTCTCACAACAGGTACCATGACTTAGGATTATTGGTAAGAAACAAAGGGAATCCATGGCTGACTGACACTCAGCCCTTCTCTTTAAAGGGCTGTTTAAAAAACAGTTGTTACTTCTGATCTGGAAAAAAAACCCTATCTAAATAAGAAACATATTTGTAAACAAACAAAAACAAGTCTTGGTTATTACTTATGGGTTCACAAATATATAACAAGTACAGAGATCTTTCTTATGACCAAACTAAAGATCAGAAGACATGTTTTCAACAGACATGAGACTAGAGCCCTGATCTGGTAATACAATAAAGGTGTCTCTGAAAACACTAAATGACCTTGGGATATTAGGATTTACCTTCTGCATTCAAGGTGCTGTGAGGTTCCTATCTTCATCAGCTGGATGACCTAAAATTAACCTTGGCTTTTTCATAAGAGGAACCCCTGATCTGACTAAGTCGGTGGCAGATTCTTAGAAAAAACTCTGTGATCCTATAATTTCCATCCTGATGGAAGCCAGTCATCAGCCCATGGACAAAATGTAGTTCTTTCATGCTGAAAGGTTATTAACCATCTGCCACAGAATTAGAATATTCTTTTCAGAATGGAGGAGAACAGCATCTATAATTTATTCTCTTTCAAAAGAAGGCATCCACTCAGATCTTATAGGGAAACGAGCAATCAAGTCTTTGACTGATGGACTCTGTGGACATGTCACCATCAGTCAGTAACTGTGAGGCTCAGTTCTGCCAGCAACAGAGGCTTCAGATTAACATCAACAAGTGTGTGCATGTGTGAGAGAGAAGTGAGGAGGGAGTTTGCCCTTGATGGCTGATGTTTTCTTCACCTACGATTTCCACACACACACACACACACACACACACACACACACACACACACACACACACACGTTCACAACAGGAACTAAAGGGATGGCTCAGGGATTAAGAGCACATACTGCTCTTGCAGAGGATCCAAGATGGGTCTCCAGCACCCATGTCAGGTAGGTGCTGTAACTCCAGCTCTGGGAGATCAGATGCCTCTGACCTCCGTGGGCACAGGCACTCAGGTGACATGTACATTTACACATAATTAAAAGTAATAAAATAAACGTTTTAAAAGTTCATAGCACGTGCGAAGACATTCCATGTCAACATTTTCACTTTCTATGTCATTGTCATGTGTTAGACATTGGGCTGCACGTTAACATGTAGGATCCCACACCATACTCACAGAAGCTAGGTACTGGACCCTTACTGATGACAAAACTGGTTTGCTTTCTCACGTGGCCAGTCAAGTAGGGAACTGGTTCAAATCCAGGGCTGTTCAACATCACAGCAAGGACTCAAAATCTTCTTTAGCCCAGGCTTCTAGGAACTTCATTTCAAGGCCCCCAATCTTTCCAGGGTCTTTGAAAAGGCCCCCTCCACCTTGCTCATCACCTCACAAAGGGGACCTTTGCATCCCACATAGGAACAACCACAGCTTTATTTTCCAGGGCTGTACCTGGCTCTTGGGCTGGAAGTCACTTATTTGAACAGCTATTCAAATTCATGTGGTCTTGTTCTCAGAACCACTCTTCCAGCCCAAGATTCTGAGCATGCCAAGACCTTTGCTCTCCTCTGGGTCTGGTGACAGCCACAGTTGGACAAGAAGTGTCTACAGTTTAACAAAGCACAGGTCACTCACCCCATCATAAACAAGAGCTTTCCAGGAATGTTCTAACTTCTTCATTAACCTAAAACGTAAACAGATGGGGAAAATAACACTGAGACTGCAAGACTACTCTTGTGATTACTTTTCCAATAAGACCGCTTTCCCAAATCTCTCACCTATATGATTGTAGAATATCAATAATGCCCATGAATAAAAGCAGTTTTTCTCCCTTATGGCTTTTAGCTGGAATGCCTCCCATTCTGTGGATAGAGCAAAGGGAAAAATATTTCATAACATGAGTACAGAATGCTAAAACTCATTACTAATCATACACTGAAAACACTAAGAATTCTAGACTACCTCTTCCTCTATTGCCATAAGTTTTCATCAGCTTAAAGGATAATAACTTCATAGCTGTCAAATCTGAGGAGTTGGATGGGAAGACTCTAATTACAGAACCACTTCTATTTAAAAATTATGAGCAAAGAAGGATTTTTAGAGCAGTATAAAATATTGCCTTTTTTTTTTTTTTGGTTTTTCGAGACAGGGTTTCTCTGTGTAGCTTTGCGCCTTTCCTGGAACTCACTTGGTAGCCCAGGCTGGCCTCGAACTCACAAAGATCCGCCTGCCTCTGCCTCCCGAGTGCTGGGATTAAAGGCATGCGCCACCACCGCCCGGCACTTTTTTTTTTTTTTTTAAGGCAACACTAGCATGTAGAATAGTGCCTGTCAAGCATGCCTGAAGCCTTAGGTTTGATCTCCAGGGCTGCATAAACTCACATGCATGGTGGCAGATACAAGGGGCAGAGAGACAGGTGAATTAGGAGTTCAAAGCCATTCTTGGCCACATAGAAAGTTCAAAGTCAGCCTGCTCTAAAGTAATATTACTTTCTCTGATCTAAAGAATCACATGTTTACTGTGAGACTGAAACATACATAGAGGCCTGTTGTGGTGGAGCACACCTTTAATCCCTGCACTCGGAAGACAGAGGCAAGTGGATCTCTGTGTGTTCAAGGCCAGCCTGGTCTACATAGTGAGTTCCAAGATAGCCAGAGCCCATAAATAGAGAGATGCTATCTCAAAAAACCTAACCAATCAACCCCTCCCCCTGCAAAAAAAAATAGAGTATCACATAGAAGAAAATTTGTGAAATTAATTCCTGAGATATGTTTTTGAAGGGTGTATGTATATATGTATGTATATATGGATTAATCTGAAGAGATTATTAGACTGAGTGGTCTTGTAACTTGAGCATTACATCTGTTAATGTGGGATCTCATTCCTCACAGCAATGGCAATGTGATTAATAGCCATGTGGTATTTCACAATATGGGTATAGAATAATTTGTTTAGTTGATTATTGAATATTTAGACAGAGCTGCAAGCATGGATTTGAACAAAGGCTGACCACGCATTAGTTTCCTTTATGAAAGACAAATGTGCATCTGGCTTAGTCATTGCCCGAGAATCCTAGAAAGCAGGTGATTAAGGCCTTAGGAAATGATTTCCTGTCTCCTTGCTCAGCAAGTTCACATGTGATGAGTCAACCATTTCAACAATCTTCTGTGGTTGTAATGGTTTCTATTGTCAAAAGCGCCCTTTACACATGCAAATGAAGCCCGCAGTTGCTAACACATCTGGCTGAGGAGAGAGGCAACATCTGCTAGGGTGCAGGGGTGAGACCAACAGAATCTCCTTACGCAGATAAAAAGCTCTGAAGTGCCAGGATCATTGCTACCATATGTTTACTGAAGTAAATAAATGAACATGAATAAACATGGAGTCATGCTCATTCAAATCCAGGGTTCATTCTTCCATCTTCTGGTAGATGTTTTGAATGTGTAGTAAATGAGGAGAAAACACTTTCAGTCATTGTTAAACAAACACACACAAAAAAAACAACAACAAACAAACAAAAAAATGGAACTATCTAAAACCAGAAAAGATATGGTGGAAGACTGATAGAAACTTGAGAAACTAAATTGTCTAGAGGTAAAGAGAAATAAAGTTGGTATAAGCCATTTACTGCCAATCAGGAATCTAGTCCCAGGGTGCCATCCCTCAGGGGAGGTGATTGCATGCAACTACCCAGTGACTGGGGTACCCGAAACCAGGCCTGGTGTGTGGCTGCACTTACGTGTCTGGATTCTCCGCAATGATCCCATCTGCAGACTTGCCTGGACCCTGGATGGATTCCATGGCTGTGGAGTACAGGACTCTCTGCATCCCAGGCCGCTTTGCGTCGGGCACATTTGGTAAGGGCTCCTCTTCTTTGTCTTTAAGGGAGTGGTCCAAGATGTGGATGCCCAGCAAAAGGCTGTAGTCCATGATCTTGAAGCTTTCCAGCACCTGAGGAAGGAAAAGAGCCAGGAGGTCAGTCAACTCAAACAGCCTGTGAGTCCAAGAGTGTGGGGTCAGCAGACATGCCACCCCCCATGCTTGTCCATTGAGAGGCAGACAGGCAAAACATCAAATACAAAATCTTCCCTGTTGTTATTGGACAACTAGCAGGAAGGACTGCCATGGTGGCGGGAAAAAGAAAATTTTATGCAAATCTAAAGGAAGCACCTCCCCCTTCCACAACTGATTCACTTATAGCATTTATTGAATGCTTTCCACATATCAGGTGCCAAGTACCCCTCTTGGATTCAACCTTCACCACCACCATATGAGCAGGTATTACTGTTGGGTCTGTTTCACAGATGAAAACCACGGAGGAAGAAGATAAAAGAACCTGTGTAGTCACAGACAGCACATCAGTGACAGATCCACGAGGTGGACTCCGACATTCACACTCCTACTCAGCACAGGAACAGAGAAACCACAACCCAGGCTCGCAAGCGCGTGTGACCCGGCGGGCACTCAGCCATTCTCCACCTCTGAATCTTGAGTTTAGTGATGACCTTTCTCAAAGCCTATCTCTCCAAGTTGCCAATCATTTCCCCGTAGCAGGTCTTTTTAATCTATGTGATCTCAACAAATAACAGGGCTTAATGCTTAATTATCCACCCTGCGGACAGTGGGGAGGTGAAGGAATTAAAAATGGTTGACTGAAGCCAGACAAAAAAGGAAGTGGTACTGTGGAGGGAAAGGACAGGACACAAGGTCTAGGCGACTGTCCCTCAGACTGTCTTTAGAGTGTGTGTGTGTGTGGGGGGGACGAGGACGGGGGAGGGGGGATGGGGACGACGACGACGACGAGGACTTGCACACCTGGACCAGCCTTAGACAGGAAGCACCTGTTCAGGAGGCACGTTTTCAAATGAGATCTTTTCTTGTATGAACATTCTCCTACTAGTGTGAGAGAGTTGTCCGGACCACAGACTGTTGTATTACCTGCCGTTTTCTACAAAAAGCTGCTCAGGAAAGGAGAGCCTATTCAGTCTCAGGCAACAGATTAGCGACAGATCCACAAGGAAGACACTGGCATGCTCTTCATCAGAACTGGTCCTTGGCCAACAGAGGATCAAAATCCCAGAATTCTTCACGCCTCTCATTTTCCTCGAGCCTAAGTGTTTTTGGAGCAGATAGTCAAGCTATTTGAAAGGGGGTTGGATGGGAGGGAGAATACTTGTGGATGCAACATCAGGGGGGCATGTGTAGTCTTTGAAATATGCTGGTCCCTGAGTCTCAGTCCTCTTTGCCGTTAATGATGAGCATGTAATGGGCTGTAAACAAGTTTCAGTTATTCCAGAGAATTTACCCTTCAACTGTTTTTAAATAGCATTAGGGATGAAACAGAGCCTTATGAATGTTCTTCATCTTTTGATATGTTAAAGTTATATTTTTAGAGTGGAGACAGACGGTAGAATCATATTATTTGAGAGGCCTGGGGCACAGACATTATATCTCCAGAGATCTGTGTACGACCTTAGAGTCATGCAAATTCAGCCATTGTCAGAGCTCCAGAAAACTGGAATCAGGTTAGAACGCAGCAAGGCTTGAAAGGGTGGCGGTTCCTTCTTTCTCAAGAACCGCTGAAAGTCAGGGATAGGAAGGGAACACACACATAGTCTTGAAAAGAGGTTGGGGCGGCAGAGCAGCCGGACACGTAACGAAGATGACCTGGCTAAGTCAGCCCCTCGGGGTAGAGCACTAGACTGTGTATGTACAACTCAGAGGTCAGGTTTAGCGACCACCTTCCTCTAGGAAATTCCTGGATTGTTGCCTTTGGCTTGTTCTCATTCCTAAACTATTGTCGTATACCCCCAGTGGCCTCTGGGTATTCTTCTAAGCAGTCCATATTGTAACTCTAAACTCTTGTTTTGTCCCAAAGCAATTCTTTCCCCTGACTTCCCTCTTTTATTTGAAATCACTGTAATGTAAATTTTAGACTCCAGGGACCCCTTTCCTTTCATTAGCTGCCCAGCCCTGCAGCTGGTGTTATCAAAACATTCCTCTTCTCTAATCATTCTATTCCAACTTCCCTTTCGGATTGGTTCAGTGACCCCTTGCCAGACTAGGTCACATCCCTACTCACAGCCCCCGGACCTGCCACTGCTTTGTGGCAAGGCTTCAGTTTCACGAAGGTCTCCGCTCTCATGGCTGCAGTCCATTTCTCCTTGTTTGACACCCCCCCTGCTCCTTAAATTCCTAAGTTACTTCTAAGGGTGCCTGGAAGATGTAAGCCCTGATGTTTTGGTTCATGCTGTTTTTTCTACAGACTTTAGTTTTTCTAAACTCAGAGGGGGATTTTTACACCCTATCTCGTATGGTAATTCCATGGAAACGATATTACAAACTGCTGGGGATAAACAAAGCATTCCCTTTGAAAATCCAAACACATTATGTGTCCCTCTCCGCTACAAAGCTCGAGCCCAGGTCCTATCGGCAGTTTTCATATCATAAAGCAGACCTTGGCTCATCAAAGGCTTGCCTACTCCGTGCTTCCTGTGGGGGGAAGGAATGCACTTTGGTCATATTGGTTCGGGTCTACATGCAAATAAAAAGAAAAACTTTCTGCAACCAAGCATCTCTAACACTACACTCCTGTGCCTTAAATACAAACACTCGATACTCACGATTATGATGCCTGTGCAAAAATTCCGGCACTGAAAACATTTGCTGTGATTGTGTGCTGTGTAGTCAGGAAAACATAAAAGCTCCCCGTGTTTTCAAAGCTACTTACATTATGGGCGTTTTGTCCTCCGTTCAAAGGGAAAACGAAGATGATATTTGCAAACACTGTCATTTGCTGTTTAGTGTGCACACAACTCAATGGCAGATAAAAGGGAGGCTGTTTCGCTGTAAATGAGGCTGGGTTTCAGGCTGGGAAGCCCATGACATCGCTCTTTGGGAAGCCTGTCACAGGCTTGGTCAAGGATGGACTCTTTAATCACTCAAGAATATTTGGGACTGGCTGTAAGATGGAGGCTGAATTGTGTAATACGTAAAATTAGGATTCAGAAATAATTAGAAATTTGGATACTACCTATTTGATGGCTAGAATTATTATTTTACTATAATATTTAAAATTTAATATAAATTTAGATGTATGATGTAGTATCTTGGGTATTTTATTTTTTGAAATTAAAATATAATTATACCACGTCTCCTTCTCTTCCCTCCCCCTCTCCAAATCCCTTGTACTCTTTCAAATTCATGACCTTGTTTTCCTTAATTTAAAAAGGGGTCCTTAATTTAAAGAGGGGTCCTCAACATTAAGAGAATCATACTGAAATATGTATCGATAAAAGGATATGATGGTTGGGATGTGATTCAAATTATATAGGAAGAAAGAGTGAGGGAGATTGGCTTTGAGTTGAAAATGGACATGGGACATATATACATATACATACATGTATAAACGTATGTATATTATTGTAGCATTCTGCCTACTTTTATGTATGTTAGAACTTTTCAAAAATAAAGCTTCATGTTCTTCTTCGAGATGCTTAGGAGAAATGCATTTTGATATTTGGCTAGTTAGTTTGCCCCTACCTCAGCTGCTGATGGGCTAGTGATGGGACCCTTGGAAACACAGATCAGAAACAGGGGACAGAATCCACAATGGAACAAGCAGGAGGCTGGCTTGTGCTCGCTCTGCTCCTCTCGACTGGTCGTTCTTTGTCCAAAGACCCAACAAACAAACACGACAATGTGGAGCTGATGGGGAGATTCATCAAGGCCCCTTGGGTAATTTCTCTAGCTGGTCTATATATAGTCACTAAAGAAGGGGCTAGTAACTGGTACACAATATTTGTAGTAATCCAATAAGATAAGTAAATTAAGGATGGTATCCTGGAGATTTTATGCAAATAGCCATCCCTGGAATTAACTGATTTGAAGAAAAATGGATCCAGCGGCCTGTTATTGCTGACTAAGTCAGCCGCTCAGAGTAGAGCACTGGATTATGTGTGCGTGCAAGTCCAGTTAGAGCTGAATGCTGTCTTTTTTATGTAACTTAATTTCCTCAATAAAGCTCAGCGTGTTCTTTGCTAATGTAATAAAGAGAAAATACAGACATATAATTTTAACTAGTAAATCAGAATGGATTAAATATTAAATCCTTAGCCTAGTTATAGGCTGTAGCACCACCATCATCCAGAACTCAGGACTATGCAGTACTGACCAACACAAGGGCAACTTTTTGTTTTTCTTTTCACTTGAAAACTTGAAGTGACAGAATTATGCTCTATGCTTTAGAAACAATCATCTATCACCCAAGAGTGTACACGCATACATGTCTGTCTATGTGTCCAGCAACACAGATACATCATCCATATAGATGGTTGTTTTGAAACAAGAGTCTACACAGACCAGGTTGACCTCGAACCCACCTCAGTCTCACATAAATTTCTGTGTGACATGGTGTTTAAAATCACAAGTAGTGACACATACGACGAAGATGACCACAACGACGATGGCACCCACGGCCACAACAGAAATCAGGACACACTCCAGGTCCTCAGACTTCAGACAAGGAAGTTAGTTCTCGGGCCTGGCAGGGTTCCCGAGCCCCAGTTTCCTTTTTCTGCTCGACGCTTCCTGTAGAATTGTTTGTTTGTTTCCATTTGAATGAAAGGGAGGGTTATAAAAATTAGTGCTATGACAACCCCGCAGTTTCTGTAACTAATGAGAATTTTCAACAGCTGCTCACGCAGGATTCACTGTCATGGATCTAGTCCCCAGCTGTTCCCTGGAAGCGTCTCAGATCTCAGAAAGAGGTCTTGTTTTAATGTTCATAGGATTTCCTCATCACACATGTTGTAAGAGTTGGCAAGCGTCAACAGGCTTCATTATGTTTTTCATTGAGCTTTAAGAATGAAATGTCTGGATTACTTTTTCCCTTGTGATCCATCACTTACCACTACCCCCTCACTCCCGTCCTCCCTCCTGGAAGTAGCGAA